AAATATATAAATAATTCGAAATGAATTAAATATAGTTTTTATTAATCTAAAAAGAATTATTTTAATTAAAAGTTTATTTTTAATTATTTAATAATCTTGAAAAATATTTTATTTTATGATTTGAAAATATTGGGACATATTATTTTATAAAAAGATAATTTTTAAAAGCCAATGGTATTTAAGGAAAGTCAAAATACTAGTTTGACTAGGAAAGGGATCATTAAGGGTAGTAAATGAATTTTAAGTAGGAGGAAAATTGAGAGGGGGTATAAATACCCATCATATGCCTAAGGTGGAATGCACCCAAAAGTAAACTCTCTCTCTCTCCTCTTATTTTATTTTCCCCTTAATTTATTTTATTTTCAATCACCACCACACGGCCGCCGCCACCACCACAAGCCACCAGCAGCGGCGGCCACCAGGCGGGCGCGCGGCAGCCGCCCAGCCATGGTGGTTCGTGCGCCCTTTTCAAAAAAAATTTATTATTATTGTTCTTTGATTTTTAATTCAATCTAGCCTTAATCTAGTTATTGGTTTTGGGTTTTGTGATGATTTTATGATGTTTGATGATATATATTATGTATATAAATTTTCAGATTTGGTTTTGAATTAAAAAGCCCCAAATTGAAAACCCTAGGTTTCTAAATTGATGTATATTGAGGGGCATTGTTTATGGGTGATTTAACTTATTGAAATAAGTGTTTTAAACTAAATTACAGCAATTTTATAAGTTTTAATAATGCTGGAATTTTTATATATAAGCTATAATTATGTTTTTTGAAAGGATTTTTAATTACCCATTAATTGGGAATAAAAGTAAAGGTTTTAAATAAAATTTTAGATTATTTTAGAGGGTTTATGAGTGATTTAAAAAGGGTATATATTGCTGGAAATTTGTGTGGAGGAGGTATTAATACTTCTTTGTAATTTTGGTTTGTAGGAGACTTTCAAGTGAGCGATTTTATTATTCTTGGCGATTTTGAGATCATATTCAAGGTACGTTCGCGTACTTAGTAATTATTTGAATATGTAGAAGCATGCTATGCTTTGCTTAATTAATTCCAAGTAGTATCATTAGCAGCCACGGAAATTCGAGATTAGTTGGTTGAAGAAGACAGGGTTAAGTGAGAAAGATGGAGAGAAATGGAAAAGGTTAACCTGTTGTTTAGGTAGCTTGTAGAAAGGCTTGTTTTAAGAAGATGGAGTTATAAGGCGGGATTATTTCTAGATTTCAAAAAGATGGATTATTTTTAGAAGAAAAGGCACAAGTGAGATTATTAGTTTCCATTTTGTTTTTCTTTTTCCTAACATTATTCTACCATACCATTATTGAGTTTTGTACAATAGCTGGATAATAAGTTTATGCAAAGAAAGAAAAAACAGTCAATGTTTTTAAACACAACAGGCATTAATTAAATAATGACAAAACGAAAGACGACAAATTTTTTTTGAAAAATACTCTCACGATTAATCCATTTCATATTACTTGACCACAAACCTAAATTTTCTCATCTCAATTCTCAAAAATAATCATCTTCCGTTAACAATATAGATTGTATTATGCAGAACCTTAAAACACGCTCATTTCAAACAGAGGTAGTAAAAGTAGAGTAAAGTAGTAGAGCGAAAAGGAGGTGTTTGGTGGCGTCGGGGAGACAGTATGTGTGTCGTGGTGGTGTTGGGGAGAGGGTGGGTGTGGTGGTGGTTGCCTAGGATGGATGTTGGTGGTGGTTGCTTGGATGATGCTCTAATCTTTGATTAATTAATGGATAGAAATTTAAATTGTAAATGAGAGAATATGAAGTTAGAAGAATTGAAAATAAAGATAATGTAAGGGAAGCCGATGGAGAATGCTAAAAAAAAGGAAAAAGAAATAATAATAATAATAATAATAATAATAATAATAATAATAATAATAATAATAATAATAATCTTAATAATAATAATAATAATAATAATAATAATAATAATAATCATCATCTAATCTAATATTATATAAATAAAGTAGACATTTTTTAAGAGCATTCGGCGCGCCACATAAGCAAAGGCATTATTTCGACCAATTAAAAATTAGATTTCTATTTTATTTTAGAATTAAAAAATTCATTTGCCATCTAAGTAAAGTGACGAATGAGATTTAAGAGTTTTGCCACGTAAGTAAAAACAACGAATATTGATTTATTAGGATTTAATTTATTTAAAAAACTAAAAGTTATCTTTTAAACTAATAATCTTTAGATATATGATTTATATACCTACTATTATAAGATAAATTTTGATAGTGTTTATGATAAGAAATAAAAATTATTCCTTAATTATAATTAAATTAAAATTTGTGATATTTACCATTATAAATTGATGTATCATATCACACCAACAAAATTTCGTATCAATACAAAACCAAACCAAGCAAATTTTGTGTCATTAATTTGTGTCAGTTTTATTAGGTCATCAATGGCTAGGTAATTCTTAGCCTAATTTTTAAAACCAATGTTTAAATATATATTTGTGATTATTGATTAAATTGTGCTTATTTGGGATACTTAATGATTATATGTTTATGTTTTGTTTACTGAATTTTGTTTTTACATGCAGATCTAAATTAATCGGAGAATTAAATTCGAGCAAAAATCTTTGGAATATCAAAGTACGAGTTTCTCGCTTGATAATCTTATTAGATGAGAAGGTATTATATCTTTATAAATCGTTTACATTTATTAAATCTTTTAATGAACCTTTTAGTTTTTATCAATTAATTTTATGATTAAAACAAATTTTTTGTGATTTAGGTAGCTTAATTAATTCATAAAATTAACTTAATTTTTTTATTTTTAATTACAGGGTGATTACGTTCCCTCAATTAAAGTCAACTTTGCTCTACAATTTTTTTCAAAATTGATTATTAAAATTTTATTTTTATTTTTGATTTTGTTCTACGAATAATGATTTAGGATTTAAATTATTTTAAAAATAAAAAATTATTATCTTTTCACATTAAAGATTTTATGCTAATATGTAATCAATGAAATATCATATTTACATTTTTTTTTTGATATCATATTATTGTCATATAACCAACAACAACCAATAAAATACAAAACAACAATAAATTAAGTGGCATTATAAATTACATTAAAAAAAATACTTTTGTAATTGACAATATCATTTTAATTAAATTATTATTTGTTTTTTTTTTGTCTAAAATTATTAAATTGTACAATAAATCAAATAATTATTAAAAAAAAAAAAACTTAGAGTATATAGGAAAATATCTTTTCTTGAGATATATGTATTACAATTCGTGCATCGCACGGTATTATTTCAACCAATTAAAAGTTAGATTTGTATTTTATTTTAGAATTAAAAAATTCACTCGCCACATAAGCAAAAGTGACGAATGAAATTTAAAAATTTTTCCACGTAGGTAAAAACGACGAATAATGATTTATTATTTAAATTATTTTAAAACTAAAAATTATCTTTTTTAAAAGATGATCTTTTGATATTAGGATTTAAATTAAAAAAAATAACTATAAATTAAACAATTATTATATACAAACACTTTAAAATTAAATATTTGAAAAAGGAAAATATATCTTCATTTTGTTTATAAGAAAACTTTCAATCAATTTTGAAAAAACCGTGCATCGCACGGGTTTTCATCTAGTAATAATAATAATAAGAACAATAACAATAACAACAACAACAATAATAATAATAATAATAATAATAATAATAATAATAATAATAATAATAATAATAAGTCTTCAAGGAGTAACATGGGACACTCAAGATTTCTTATATATTTTCCTATTAGTATATATAGATGTATAAGTTGATGATGCCGGATTTCATTTTTGATCTGTATGATTTATTAAAGTACTCCATCCATTCCTTATCTACATGTTTACTTTTCTTTTTGGGGGTTTCAAAACTACATGCCTATTTCTATCTAAAAAATGTACTTGTTGACAATATTTCCTCTTTTTGATGAGTTGTCATCAATTTTCTTTTATTTTTTTGTACTTTTGACATCATTTTTCAACACTTTCTCTCTTTATCTCTTCAATAATTGCCAACTACCTTTTCTTTTTCTCTATCTCTCTCTAACCCTACATGCACATTTGTACTTCTCAATCATGGGTTTTAAGGAATCTTTAAGTTCCTTAATTCCCGTGAAAAATGAAAAATAGGCATGTAGATATGGGACGGAGGGTGTACTAATTAACTTTATGTATGTGAGATTGATGATTGATCTAGTTAGTAGAAAATTGAACGCAATCATTACAAGAGGAAAAAAAAAAAAGACTTCCACAGCTAATAGAAAATGTAAGTAGAATATTCTCTTCGTAACTTTAGGATATAAGAACATTTAGTAAGACTAAAAATAGAAGTGTACCAAAAATTAAACTCTAGCCTCCTCTCCCTCTCCTCTTTCACCTAAATTCTAGCTTTCATTGTTAATTTTGAAGGGGCTTTCATCGGATTTCACCGGTGGAAAGCCCCGATCTTTGTTTCTTTTAAGTTTTCTTTTTTTTCTAGGTTACAATAATGTCTCCATCAAAGAAAGGATTTATATCCTTAGCTTTGAAATACAAGGTTTTTTTGATCTCATTCGAAAGATAAGGTCTTTCCGAACTCCTTTGAAAGAAAAGGTTTTATTTGCATTTGATATATATGGCCTCCAGTTGTGCGGGGCTACGATTGATTATTGCTCTGATTCGGTTTACAAAATCATCATAAGAATTTTCTTTCTCACGAAATTATGAAGCGATGACGGATAGACAACGAATCGAGAACATGCTGAATTGTTATATTTGTGTATTTGGATTCCTAGGCCTTCCCTAATTAATTCTTGTTTGATTTTGTTGAATCTGTTTTCATTATTGTTGATTATTAATTGTAGTTGTCGTATGACTTTAATTAATTAAATATAGTGTCCTTTAGGACTTCTTACAAAATATATATATATATATATATATATATATATATATATATACATAAATTTAAAAAAAAAATGTACCAACAAAACATATGATAAATTTTCAAGATTTGGAAGTTGAAATTAAACACTAACGACAATGCTTGATATTCGATTCCAAAACAAAGTTATAGCAACCACTACAACTTCACCCCATAATAAAAAAAAATGACCTTGCATTTTGATGCTTAAACAAACAACAAGAAAAACAAAGGAACATCGGAAACAAAGCAAGCAGACTACTACGTGCATTGTCTAGTGCAGAAACAGCGGCCGCGTAAACCAACGCAGATGCCACCGGAGAAACCTTCAGTTCTGCAAACGGTAGCGCAGTTGTGATCGATAAAACACATCCCCTTAAAATGATGACTCTGTGACTCGCACATTCTTGCATCAGCTTGTTGCACCATACCATCTGTAATCAATTCAATAACATATGCATGAAGTTTGCGTGTATTATCTTGTTTTATGGAAAAATAAAAGTGCGTTAGTCGCATTAGATTCATAACTCACGCTCTTTTTTTTTTGGCATTTCTTGATAAAGGGTTTTTTTTTTTTCCTTACGAATATAGTTAATTTTAATAAAGCATTAGGTTCATGGTAAGACAAATATACAATTTATTATTACTCCGTATTATTATATGATATCAAAAACAACACCTGAGAAGGTTATATTTCGTTCAATCATCTCTAAAATAACAAAGGCATTATGATCTCACGTAATCACAAAGATTAGTTGATTAAGGAGTAAGGACTCGCAAATAATAATTATGACTGTACTTGAATTGTGGAGTAATTATAATTAATATTTGTCTTATAAATTGGGACTCATCATGTTGTTAAAATCAAGTGAGTGATAATAAATTATGACATAACAATGGGCGTAAAAATTATGTAAAATGTTTGATATTAAGTTGAAAAAACTTACGAGAAGCAAAGAAGATGAGCAACACCATAAAAAGCACAACAGATTTCCTTTCCATCTTGAACGTTGTTGGATTGGCTACTCTAAGAAAAGGTGGTGTGTATAGTAATTAAGTATGTGAGTAATGCAAAGATTAAAGCTTGGTTAAGTAATTATGTTAGGACTTAAAGTCTCTATTTATAGAAGTAACTAATGAAGTTGCTCTTTTTTCATTCTTTTCTATGTATTATTAAATAAAAAATAAATAATAAATAATAAAAAGAAAAAGAAAAGTATGTAATTTTTTAATTTATTGGGAGGTGGACGGGAGGGGGGGGGGGTGCGTGTGTGTGTGTTGGGGGATGTAACTAATGAAGGCAATGGCTATGAGAATTGTGAGAAAACACAAGAAAACAAATTAATACTAGAAACAAAAATAGAAATATTAGAAACAGTCACAGGACAGTAAAAAAGAAAAGCAATATATATATATAATAACTAAAAATTAACAAAGTTAGTAAAATTAATAGTAATAATATACAAAGAATTTAAAGAAGAATAGTTAGAAATAGCCAAATTTCACTTAAGCTATAAAACCCTAGATAATTTGTAAACCCTAGGCAATAAAAAAATATAGGGAGAAGAAAGGGTAAGGGGTGGCTCCAAATTCTCTAGTAGTACGTCCAACGTAGGCCCTGTTTTTTTGAGTTGTTCTGCTCTGCTCTGCCTTGCTCTGCTCTGCTGAAATCTGCTCTGCCGCTCTGTTTAAAAATAATAATTAATAATTAATAAAAAATAATAACAATAATTCATAAAAAATAATAACAGTTAATAATAATAATAATAATAACTAATATTTATAGATAATAATATTAATATTAATATTTTATAATAATAATAATAATAGTTAATATATAATATTAATTGATAATAATAACTAATATTTAATGATAATAATTAATATTTTAAATTATTTAACACATTTTTTAATATTATAAAAAGAGTAAAAAATCTAACAAAAACTCAAATAATAATAATAATAATAATAAAATTATGCGATAATAAAAATAATAATTATAATAATAATAATTATAATAATAATAATATTAATAATATTATAAATAATAATAATAATAATGTTAATAATAATAATATTAAAAATAATAGTAATAGTAATAATAATAATAATAATAATAATAATAAAATTATGCGATAATAAAAATAATAATTATAATAATAATAATTATAATAATAATAATAATAATAATAATATTAATAATATTATAAATAATAATAATAATAATGTTAATAATAATAATATTAAAAATAATAGTAATAGTAATAGTAATAATAATAATAATAATAATAATTAATGATAATTATGTGATAATAATAGTAATAATAATAATAATAATGATAATAATGATGATGATGATAATAATAATAATATTAATCATAATTATTATAATAATAATAATAATAATAATATTAGTAATAAAAATAATGCGATAATAGTAATAGTAATAGTAATAGTAATAGTAACAATAATAATAATAATATTAGTAATAATAATAATGCGATAATAATAATAATAATAATAATAATTATTATTATTATTATTATTATTATTATAACAATAATAATAATATTAATAATTTTAATAATAATAATATTATAAATAATAATAATAATAATAATAATAATTATTATTATTATTATTATTATTATTATTATTAAATCTACTCTACCCTGCTCTGCTCTGCTGAAATCTTCTCTACTCTGCTCTGCTCTGCTCTATCCTACTCTACTTTGTCCAAAAAAAGAACAGGGTCGTAGTTCATCACAAATTATTTTGTCATACAATTTATTTATTTATTTTACTCCGTACTAATTAATCTTTTGCTTAGCTACAAATAAACTTACAATACACTACGGAGTGCTATTAGTTTATGTTTGCATGCCAATTAATTTATTAATTTGTCTGCACAAAGAGTCTTTTAAGAAAGGCAAGTAGCCCCTAAACGACAAATGAAACTACAAATATTTGCAATTTGTAAGTTGCCAAAAGTTAATTAATGGTTAAGTGGTGACAATTTGCCAGTGGACGGTGGTTAACAAACAGGAGAGACTGTGAAAAATTAACATACATCTCACTTACTTACGTTTATGTTTAGCCTTGGGATTCACGTTATTACACATAGTTTTTGAACTCGACCTAAGTCTAATAGTCCATGCAAAATTGCAAATGTGTTTATTTTATTGCAGTGTCCGTGAAGCGATTATGCAAAGGTGGTAAACAGGTCGTTTAAGTGATTATCGAATCTAATTCGATTTACCTCAGATGACATCAAACTTACTGTGTTTTGTGTTTAAATTGTGTTTGATTCTATTCAATCATATTCAAGATAAGTAGATTATTAAATGCGCAGTTTAAGTGAGATTAATTAACTTTTTTTTTTTTTTTTTTATAATAGCGTGAGATTAACTAACATTAAACGAATGGTTATGAAGTCTATTTAAGATTTAAACTTTCAAGCTCAAATTTAAATTGTGTTCAATGTTTAGTTAAATTTAAACTTAGCTTTACTCTGTATATATTTATATTGATATGAGTTAAGTACATTGGGTGTTTTGTATCCTATGGGTTTCAATGAACATCAAATCGTCGTCACTTGACTTTAAAACAGAATAATAAAGGAAAAAATTAATTCTCATGATCTAACTCTTTTTAGGGTTTGGATTCAACCCCGATCCGGTTGGACACAACCTTTTTTTTAGGGTTGGACAATTAGTCTACTATGGACCCAGGTCCAACTATTCTAGTTGTATTACACCCTTTAAAATGAATACTTAGTAAAAGAAGACGTAAAAAATGAACATTTAGTAAAAGATGACGTAAAAAACTGAACAAGTAGTATGTTACAAATGAACATGATTATCTTAAAATAATTGATAGTTGGATCACGCCCTATAAAATGAACATTTAATATATTAAAAATGATGAAACATTTAGTTAAAAATGAACATGATTATCATACAATCATAGAATAGCTAGACCACACCTATAAAATGAACATTTAGTAAACAAACTAGTGTGTGGCGCGCGGCACTGACGATAATGTCCCAGGTTGTTACTTTGAACACTTATAATTGAATAGATAGGTTCATTCTTTACTATTTATTTATTCATTATTTGTTTATTTATAATAGTTTTTCATTAAACCTTTGAATGAATTATTTATGGAACAACTATTGACTAATTATATAAACATGTCCTTCGTATATAATTTATAATATAATGAAAATAAAAACATAATTAAATAACTAGTTTATAACAGTAGATAATTTTTATTGTATGCATTACCTCATCGATGAGCATTATATATTAGCAAATAATAGAATTGATTTTTAAGAATCACAGTCATTAAATGCGTTAGAAATATGCCTTGAATCGGTTTTCGGGTCTTGGAGTAGTGAACGGTAGCTCGCGAGGTAGCTCAGTAGTTCGTTGGCAAGGTTGAAGATTGCGACGAAAAGTGGAGCTATAGCTCGCGGAGGTATTTAGGTGCGGCTAGGTCGAGCGAGAGCTCGCTGTCAAGAGCTCGGTCGCGCGCAACACTAGGATTCGCGCGCGGTATGCGTGCGCAAGTCTGAGAGTTGCGCGCGGAGGGTCAGCACAACTCTGAGAGTTGCGCACGGCATTTAATGCTGAGGCGGTCAGCGTTTTTTCTACGCGTCTATCTATCTTGTTCCGGAGTGCTATATACACCCCCTGGGGTTATTTGTAGCCGTATGATTGTGTCATTGAGTGTTATTCAGAAATCTAAGAGTCTTTTGTGTATTTCTCATCTGTGAGATCTGAGAGAGATAACATTAGAAATCCAAGAGACTATCAATGTGTTTTCTGTGATTGGTCTCAAATATGTTCTTAATCTGTATTCTATTTTCCCAAGATCAATAAAACTATTACTCTCGCCTGCCCGTATACGTAGCCTACACATTGTTGGTGAATCACGTAAATCTGTGTGTGTTTTTCTTGTTAATTTTACATTCAATGTTTATTCTTTCTTGCCTCTGTTATAACAAATTGGTATCAGAGGTTCGGCCTAGGGTTTAATTCTGGTGAGAAAGATGGCTGCTTTGAATGTGAAAATCGACAAATTCACAAGGAGAAATAGTTTTAGTCTGTGGCAGATCATGATGCGGGCTTTGTTGAGGCAACAAGGGCTATGGGCGCCGTTGAATAAGAAGTCATTGGATCCAGTAACTGCTGAGATGGCAATCTTGGAGGAGAAGGCACACTTAACAATCATGTTGTGTCTGGCGGACAATGTTATCACCGAGGTCGCGGAGAAGGAAACCGCATCGGATCTGTGGTTGAAGCTGGAGAGTCTATACATGACGATGTCTTTAACCAATAAGTTTCTATTGAAGAAACGTATGTTCGGTCTGCGAATGTCTTAAGCTACATCCCTTAGAGAACACTTAGATCAATTGAATACTATTCTGTTAGAATTGCGTAATATTGATGTTAAGGTTAAGGATGAGGATGCTGCCTTAATTCTGTTAGTGTCTTTGCCAGTGTCATATGAGAATTTTGTGCAGTCTTGTATTATTGGTAAAGAGACAGTGTCTCTAGAGGAGGTTATATCTTCTCTCCATACTAGAGAGTTGCGCCATAAGGCGTCTGGTATACAGATGATCAGGCTGCTTGATTAGTAGCCAGTGATGGTATAATGGACAGGGGAATTCGGGGAGAAAATCTGGGAAACCGTCTTCTAAGGGTCCAAAACCTAGTGAAGTATGTGATTACTGTAAGGAGAAGGGGCATTGGAAATCTGAATGTCCCAAAAGATGAGACAACAGGAAAATTATGAGTCTGCAGATATTGCAGATGGAGACACCAGTTTAGAAGAGGATTATATCCTGATTGCTGATGAGCGTGCGCATCAATCTGATGTGTGGGTTCTAAATTTGGGGGCGTCTTATCATATGTGTTCACGCAGGGAGTGGTTAATGAACTACAAGCAGGTTGATGGAGGTGTTACTATGGCTAACAACGAAGTCTGCAAAACAGTTGGTATGGGGTTCATTAAAATTCGGACACATGTTGGTAAACTCTATATGTTGAACAATGTTAGGCATGTTCCACAGATCACGAGGAATCCGATTTCGCTTAGTCTTC